TTCCAAGACCTGTCTAGCTGTCCCCTGTGGGCAGGGAGAAGAGGCTTTGTGGTTTCATTGTGTGGTGTTGAGGATGTACAACCTCAAGCATGATAAGCAAACTCTTTCCACCAGGCTACCCTCTCCCAGCCTGGTTTTATGCTCTTTTACAGAGCTATTAGAATTATGATCGAGGGTCACTAGACTCTTGTCACTGCAGTCCCAGCGTCCCCCCTCTCCTCTCTCGTAGACGGTCGATTAGAGGCATTCTATCTGGGATCTGAATGGTCTTGAGAATGAGTTCACAGAGAGTTTTGCTCAGAGAAGCTGCAGGCTACACAGAGCTGCCTCTACCATTTACTGCGTGGTGAAGAATGTCAGTTTTATTACCTAGCTATTTGCACAAACTGGAAGGAAGGAATGAACGGCATTTGTGGTATTCATCTGATGAATGGAGGTCTGGCATCGGTGCCGGATTTTTTTCCGATTTCATTATGTCTAAAGGCTTAGTTTCACTGCCCAGGGCCAGCTGCTTCCCTTCTCCCCTTCATTCACAGATTCTCTGCCACTGGGGCCTTCATCAGATTGAAAAATATGTGTAAGGCAAAAACACTGAAAGAATGTAGATGAAGCCATGTAGATTCGCTGGGAACTAGCTTCGAGTAGATAGATACCCATCAACAGAAGCCTGTAATATTCCTCATATGGGAAAGGCTTTGTTGATTAATATACGTTTATATGTTACCCCTTCATTCCAGAATGCCATGAAGATAATATCTACATGTCTTAATCAAACGAAGACTACAGCTTGTTTCATGTGTGAGAGCTAGCATCTGGTCTCGTCTCCAAAGAGTTGCCTTTAGTTATGAAAACTGAACAACAGCCCTGCACAGTGTAGAAAGCACTCTGTTGGTCTGAGTTAGGAGTTCCGGATGTAATTCTAATTCTGCAACCTTGGTCAGGCATCTGACACCCCTCATGCTTCACTATCTACGTGTGAGAAAAGGGGTGGAGGAAGAGAAATAGGGGGGAAAGGCTTCACTTACTCAATGGGAAAATGTATTGTAAAGGGGGCTGGAGAGATGGCTCAGAGGTTAAGAGCACTGACTGCTCTTCCAGGGGTCCTGAGTTCAGTTCCCAGCAACCACATGGTGGCTCACAACCATCTGTAATTCAATCTGGTGCCCTCTTCTGGCATGTAGGCAGAACGCCGAATATGTAATAAATAAATCTTTAAAAAAAGACCTGAATTTATATATATATATATATATATATATATATATATATATATATATATATATATATAAACATGCCTGACATTCCCATGTTGGCAGAGTTCCAAACATGGCTGTGCCAAGTCTGAACCTACCATGGAGGCATGGGCAGGATGCATGCCAGGCCTCCGATAATGGGAGAGTTTTCGGCACTGACTGTGCTTCCTGTTGCCTGAATAGACATGGGGGAAATTACAGAAATGTGGCTGAGAGCCCAGGACGGAGAATTAAAGGGAAGGCACAGCACAGCCACTATGACTTGGCATGTTATCATGCTGGGAGCCTCTTCTGTTGTTTTTATGACAGTATAAAGTCCCTTGGGCAGCTGCTGCACAAACCTTAAATAATAGCAAGAGAAGACTGGGAGACAGGAATAGCAGTAGCAGAAACCTAGTAGGTCTGGCCAACCAGAACTTGTGGTTTGTCGGTTGTTTGAGGCAGCAGCAGTTGCTGTCGAGGAGGAGGAGGAGGGGGGTGACTTTTCATTTTGACTTCATTGAAGAGAGAAGTGTGGGTCACGTGAGGGAGGCAATAAAAGGCTCAAGAATTACTAGCCAGACACTCGTTGTATGGGTGAAGGTTCATAAAAGCCTCCTCTCTCCTGAGGCTGAATGTGTTCCAGGTAGATCTGCGAGGACCTGGGTTCTGCCTCCTGTAACAGAGTTACTTGAAAGAGAACGTGGTCTTATTCTTGGATCCAAGTCTGGGTTCCGGATCAGCTGTAGTCAAGTGCTCCGGGGCACACCAAATGCTGTGTATTCACTGAAGGTTCCTATTCGTCTCTTCCAGCTTCTGCGTCCTGCTCCTGGCTCCTAATTTCTGCTCCTGCCTTCCACTTCCCTCCTAATGTGAGCAAAGCCTTCACTGTCTCAGGTTCTCCCTTCTATCCCTTGGGCTGCATCCTTCCATGCTGTGATGTGTGTGTGTGTGTGTGTCATGTGTCTGTGTGTGTGGTGACTGTGTGTGTGGTGAGTCTGTATGTATGTATGGTGTGTATGCATGTTGTATGTGTGTCTATGTGATAAATGTGTGTTGTGTGTCTGTGTATGGTGTATGTGTGGTATGGGTGTGTATGGTGTGTATGGTGTGTCTGTGTGGTGTGTCTGCATGGTGTGTGTGTGATGTGTCTACATGGCGTGTGTGTGGTGTGTCTACATGGTGTGTGTGTGATGTGTGTGTGTCTAAGCTCTGTATCCTTTCCTCCTTGTTCTCCCAAATCTGTTTCAACTGTTAAAAATACAGGATCTGCTCTTTGCAACTGGAAAAGGTTCTCAATCTGATAAACACATTCATCCTGTCACTTACACAGTTTGACTTATGATTTGGACAGGTTCTCTCCAGTAGCTTCACTGGTGCTATTATTCTCAAATTTTATTCTGCAATTTAATTTAGGTCATGCCAACTGAGCAAGAGAACACCTAATCCTTGTAGAGAAAACCTTATTAAAATGGAGCAACAATATCTCCCTTTAAATCCAATCCTGTTAGAATGTCTGTAAAAGAAAAAAAAACATAACCCTGTTCTTTAAGTAATGCCTTAGTGCCTGCCAGCAGCACTCACTACAGTAACTTGGGTCACCTTTAAGTACCTCCCTATGCCTGACAAACTAAGTTAACCTCTGGTCTTGTTTAACTTTTTTTCTTTTTAGAATTCTGCCCCTACAGTGAAAGGGATTGCTCTTAACTAGCCACTTCATGTGGGTGCTAGGAATTGAACTCAGGACCTCTGGAAGAGTAGCCAGTGCTCTTAACCTCTGAGCCATTTCTCCACCCCACCCCCTTTGTGTTTTGTTATTGTTGTTTTTGTTTTTTCTGTGTAGCTTTGGAGTCTGTAGACCAGGCTAGCCTCAAACTCACAGAAATCGGCCTGCCTCTGCCTCCTGAGGGCTGGGATTAAAGGTGTGCACCAACACCTCCAAACTTGTTCTTTTCTTCTTAAATCCTTTGGATTTGCCACTCATTTTATTAAACTTCATTTTATAGATCTTCACTTGTTTTTTACATTTGTTTTCTGCCTCCATTTTGTACCAAGTCTACTTGGAAAATAATCCCCCCCCTTTTCTTTTTTAATTTTGTTCCTGTAGCAAATGAACAACTGATATACTGTTTTTTATGGACCTGTCTTCAGGGTTATTTAGTTTGTTCTGCCTGCCTATATCCTGGTTCTTTTGGGCTTAACTAAATTCTGGTCCTGGGCCTAGGGATTAATTTGCATTATTTACCATCTGCTGAGGCTGAGAACATCTAAGCTCCACAGGGGCACCTAGGTGCTTGTAAGAGTCGCCTGGCCGCCTAAATTGCCTCCTTCCTCAATTAGTTGAGATGTCTGTCAAGTCAGGGGCATCATACTCAGAGGAGAGACTTCTGACCCTGCCACCTTCAGTGGCCACATAGGCTTTACATCATGTGAATGCTCTTAGTATGTTTTAGAATTCTGGCTTTTATCAGTGCTACAGAAGCAAACAGGGGGGCGGGGGTTGGGGAGGCTAAGGTCTCATGAAGTATAGGCTTGCCTCAAACTTGATGTGTAGCTAAGGACGATCTTAGGACAATTTATGACCCTCCGGCTTCTGTATCCCAACTGCTGGGATTACAGGCATGTACAACCATGCCCAGTTTTATTCTTTGTTGAGCAATGAACCCAGAGTTTTGTACAGGCTAGGCAGTTGAGCAAAATCCCCAGTCCCCAGCTCTCATATTTTTAGAAATTGAATTATTGTGTTGAACAATGTGATAGCTCTTAATCCACAGTTTACAAGTATTTCATGAATTTGTAGTCATTAGCTAAAACATTTCCCAGCACATTGCTTCTGTGCTAGTTTTCAGACATCTTATAGGCAATACTTCCTTCTGGAATCCTAATAATATAGTTTGTTTCTTTTACAAATTATTGCATCTGTATGTTGATTTAGGCTTGTTTAAAAATATGCCTAACTTGGGGCTGGCAAGATGACTTAGCAGGTAAAGGCACTTAATGCCAACCCCGAGGACCTAAGTTCCATCCCCAGAACCCATATGGCAGAGGAGAGACCAGAGTTGTCTCCAGGCCTCCACATATGCACCACGATAATAAATGTAAAAAGGTTTTTTTTAATATGCCACATTTAGATGTAATAGTTTATACATATAATCTTGGCCCTTGAGGAGCAGAGACAGGAAAATAAAGTCATGCCTGGAACTATGATGAGTTTTGAGGGCCTCTTGGGCTACATACAAATCTGTCTTAAAAACTAGAATAAAACCATCCAGAGAGTAATAAGATGTTCTGCTGAAATTGGAATGACTTTACCTGATTCCCAAAGCTTAATGTTTTTCCTTGGCTCAAATGTTAGTGCCCCCATCCTATAGGCTGCTTTAATGGTCTCCTTTTACTTGTCTCATGACTTGAAATTCTTTCTTGTATTATGATTTCATTTTCTCTTATTCCCTGCCCTTCTAATTACAGATCTTGATCCTTAATATTTTCTGTAGGGGTGTGTGTGTGTGTGGGTGTGTGTGTATGTGTGTGTTAGCTTGTCTACACCTTGCTCTGCAACACAACCCAAACCCATCTAGAAAACTTCTATACTCCGTACACTCAGGGCAGCCACACAGTTTGATACAGAAATTCAGGAGAGCCTCCCAATTCTAACAAGTCAGCCGCTAGAACCTGAGTAGCTATGAGAATGACTCTTAGATAAATTAAACCCTAGGCCCATCTCCCAGTCATCACTACGGACTGCTCAAATTGTCCTGCTTCCTTCCCTAGAAGTTTCAGGCTCCTGCAAAAGAGAGCTGTGTGGGGTGTCAGAAGACCGTGTACCCCATGGAACGTCTCCTGGCCAACCAGCAGGTGTTTCACATCAGCTGTTTCCGCTGCTCCTACTGCAACAACAAGCTTAGGTAAGTCAGTCCCAAACAGGGTGCAGAGGGACTGTGGCTTTTAGCACACAGGCACTGAAAGTGCTGATGATACTGACTGCCCCTAGTAGGGTGAAAACCACCCTTTAGAGACAGCTCCTTCACACAGGATGCTGGTGGTGTCAGTGACTTCTTGATGCTGTTGGTGTGTGAGAACCGAAGCCTGAAATCCTGCGAGCCACTAATGAAGCCCATGCCCCCTTTAGTAGAGTGCCTTCCTGTGATGTCTTAGAACCATAAACTTAAACCCTAAGGCATGGCATGGGCCTGGAATCCCAGCTACAGTGGGGCATTGGAGCAGGAAAATCTCAAGCTCAGTGCCTGCTTGGGCAACTCAGTGAAACCATGTCTCAACAAGTGAAAAAGAGGCGAAGGATGTAGTGTGTAGAGTGTCTAGCATGTTCTGTCCCCATACTGAAGAAAAGTGGGAGAAGAGAAGAAACTCAAAGTAAAACTATCAATATGGAGAAATATTTCACATTAATTAATTCTAAATCGAATCGTTCCAGAGAAGGAAATATCCAAGATGTCACTTTCTCCATCTTTCCTTCTCAAGCACGAATCCTAGAATACTCTTGGAAGATGGGTTTTGTACCTCAGCACAGCTACACCTGGTGGTAGCTCTTATCTAGACAATGTTCCTTATATCGTACCAAAGTCCGCCTCTGGGATCTCCATTCTTTAGTTCCTTTTCTGTCCACTAAATTAATTTTTTAATTAATTTATTTATTGTTTTTTCAATCCCAGCTCTTGGGAGGCAGAGGCAGGTGGATCTCCTGAATTTAAGGCCAACCAGGTCTACATAGTGAGTTCCAGAGACAGCCAGGGCTACACAAAGGAACCCTGTCTAGGATGTGTGGGGGAAAGGCATTATGATAGGTCATTTATGTGCTTTTAAATAGATATTTTCCTGGGACTGGGGATATGGCTCAGGCCATACAGTGTTTACCTGCTGTGTACAAGACGCTGTACATTCACAGCACCACAAAGGGGGAAAAGAATTTTTCACCATCTTTGTTAAATATGGGAACTATTAGATGGAACCCTGCTGATAGAAATGAGAGATAAAGGAAGATATACTAACCTTATGTTTTCTCTCTTGATGACAGTCTAGGAACATATGCATCTTTACATGGACAAATCTATTGTAAGCCTCACTTCAATCAGCTCTTTAAGTCTAAAGGCAATTACGACGAAGGCTTCGGCCACAGACCACATAAGGATCTTTGGGCAAGCAAAAGTGAGAACGAAGAAACTTTAGAGAGACCCCCCCAGCCTCCAGATGCAGGGGAGACCCCCCACAGCCCCGGGGTAGAAGATGCCCCCATCGCTAAGGTGGGTGTCCTGGCTGCAAACATGGAAGCCAAGGCCTCCTCTCAGAGGGAGAAGGAAGATAAGCCTGCTGAGACCAAGAAGCTGAGGATCGCCTGGCCGCCCCCAGCTGAGCTGGGCAGTTCAGGCAGCACCATGGAGGAAGGGTTCAAGGTCTCTAAGCCCAAGTGGCCTCCTGAGGACGAAAGCAGCAAGACGGAGGCTCCCGAGGATGTAGATCTGGACCTGAAGAAGCTGAGGCGATCTTCGTCGCTGAAGGAGAGGAGCCGCCCATTCACCGTAGCCGCTTCATTTCGAACCTCTTCCGTCAAGAGCCCCAAGGCGCTGTCACCTCTCAGGAAAGGTTGGAGCATGTCGGAGCAGAGTGAGGAGTTTGGAGGAGGGATAGTAACAGAAGGGAAACAGACGGAATATGCCAGAGCCTCTGGGAAGAACGAGAATGTGGGGAAATCACGCTGGCAGCGCAAGGATTCCGCCAGGGAGGAAGCAGTGAGGAAGAGCAAGGACATTCATGATTTTGAGCTGGCGAGTGAGAATTTCGTAGAAAACGGAGCAAACATCGATGAAGATGATAGCAGTGACGTCGTGCAGAAGTCTCCACTAGAACCCGAGTCTCCAAGATGGTCCGGCTTTGTAGACACCACTCCCACTAAAGAGTTCACGACCCAGAATCAAAAATCTCAAGATGTGGGTTTCTGGGAGGGGGAAGTGGTCAGAGAGCTGTCGGTGGAGGAACAGATAAAGAGAAACCGATACTACGATGAGGATGAAGAATAACAGGCCGCCATGGGGTGCTGGCCTTAAATTCCTGTCAGCACTAGTAGTCACTGCCCTTTATCAAGTGGTGCCCAGAGACAGGCAGCCAGGCGCTAGCTGTCATTTATGTGGGAGCGACTTCGGAAAGGAATTCCTGCTACCAAAACAGAAAACAAAAGAGAATCAATTCTAAGTGCATTATTGGAACTCCATTTGAAGACTGGTGTGGTGGTACACGCCTTTAATCCCAGCACTCAGGAGGCGGAGGCAGGCTGATCTCTGAGTTTGAGGCCAGCCTGGTCTACAGAGTGAGTTCCAGGACAGCCGGGACCACACAGAGAGACCCTGTCTCCAAACCAAAAGAAAGAAAGTCCATTTTAGCAGTGAACACATACGTAAGGGCTGAGGGGAGGCTCTCATTGGTCTAGCCCAGTGTCCACTACATTCCCCAAAGTGAATATTCAAGTGTCTAGACAGTGGTACATTTTCACACTACGAATACCATTGTGGAATTGGAGGCAAACAACAGATTTAGGTACCTACATATCATGACCAGAAGCACTTTAGTATAAAGGGCACAATGTAGATATTTTTACCAATTTCATTTTTTAGTACTCAATTGTTTAAATCAAATATTTAGTCTTTCAAAATTTTCTATGCATTTTTCTCCCTCCGGTAGATATGGGAACTTATTGCTCTGCATCCTACACTCTGTATTTTTAATTACTGAAGTATAAAACAGCAGCCTCTGGCCCAGGAAGACCACCCACTTAGTAAAGGCGCTTGCTACACAAACCTGACCACTTGAGTTCGATCACCAGCACCCACGTATAAAGGTGAGAGAACCAACTCCACAAGGTTACCTTGTGACAGACGTGCCCTGTGGCACACATGGCCATCAAAAGTAATAATAATTTTTAAAAAGCCACCAGGCGTTGGTGGTGCACGCCGTTAATCCCAGTACTCAGGAGGCAGAGGCAGGCGGATCTCTGAGAGTTTGAGGCCAGCCTGGTCTACAGAGAAACCCTGTCTGGAAAAAACAAACACAAAAACAAGCCACCCTTCCGAGACACCTTTGAGAACAAAGAGCCAGCCTGTGTGCTTGGTGCTTGGAGAGTCCCACCATGGCATCCGCCAGTGTGTCATCCTGAACTCTAGGTGATTGTGTCGTCTGTTTGGTGACTTCTCACACTTTACAGAACGCTGCACTGTTTTTACAAGACCTTCTGGGTCAGGGTTCACTGTGCTCTGGATAAAACCAAATGAAGACTCCAAAGGAGGGAAAACAAGAGGGACTGCCTGAGCCCAGATCTCCACGGCCACCCTGAGGCAAATCTTTTCAGTACCTATCATCTCTGAAATGTATTGACTTTCCGTGTCAGATAACGTCTCCGGGTTAAATTCAATCAGTTTTATATCTTTCTTCTTGGATGGTGTCCTGGCTGGATTCACTGTTGGCGTAATAAAACCCCCGGGCAAAAAGCGACTGGGAGGAAGAAGTCCATTCCCACTTACAGGTCACAGCCGTTGTCAAGGGAAGCCAGGCAGGAACATGGCTGGCTCCCTGGCTCCGTGTCCCTGTCTTACTCAGCTTGCTTTCTTATACAACCAGGGCTGCCTGCCAAGGGGTGGCTCTGCTCACAGCAGTGGCAGCAAAAAGCCCTAGAGACAATGCCCACAGACTAATCTGTTAGTGACGGTTCCTCAGTTGACATCCCCAGGCAATTCTATTTGTCAAACTGGCAAAAACCAGCACAGGCGGTTTTCTCTAGCATTAAGGCTTTAGAACATTATACACGAGCAAAGGGTACATTTGTTGTAAGTGACTGATATCCCAAATCATGTATGGGTGTGGGGTGTTTTTAAGGTAGAGAGGCCTTTTTTGCATTTGTAGAGATTTAGAGATGTAAAATAATGTTTCCTTATAGTCTTGTTTAGCCTAAAACATTTTTATTCAATAAAGCTTTTAATTTACATTTCAACTTTCCACTGTTCTTTTTCCATTATTTCTTTCCATTGTTAGTCAGTTTGAGGGGGAATGTGCTGTGAATTTGTTTCACCACTAGATGGTAATGTTGAGCTGGCTTGACTTTCATCCACCCTGAAGGCAGACAAAATTTTTCTGGAAAATTGCAAGTAATTTGGCAAGAGAATTAGTATGTGCATGCAGAATGAGCTGTTTGTTTTACCAATTCAAATTCCAGTGGTGGTTTTCACTGTTTATTGTATTCAGCATTTAGTAATTCACCTTACAATTATGCCTAACACGAAAAATAGACCATCTCTGCTGAAAATGCATGTTTTTCACTCTGGGTGTAAGGATGCTTGGTTGTTGATTTCTTCTGTAGAATCAACTTCCAAGTGTTGCTGCTGTCCTTGGTTTGTTGTTTTAATAATATAGCCTGGAAAGCCAGATATAGTGGTCCCTGCCTGTAATCCCAGAACTCGAGAAACTGAGGCAGGAGGATTACCATGAGTTGTAGGCTGGCCTAAACCACAGAGAAAGACCCTATCTCAACAAAACAAAAGAAAACAAGAGCCTGGAGAGATGGCTCAGCATTTTAGAGCACTTTTTGTTCTTGCAAAGGGCCCAGGTTTGGTTCCCAGCACCAGCATCCTGGCTCACAACCATGCTAAGTCCAGTTCTAGAGAGTCCAACATCCTCTACTTACACCCACAGATATATATGTAAGCAAAATATGCACTTTAATGAAGATTGAAAAACAAAAGCAAGCTGGAGTGGTGACTCACATCTGTAATTCCAGCATGCAGAAGGCTGAGACAGATGGTGGCCAGAAGTTCAAGGCCAGCTTGGACTACAAGGAAGAGCCTATACAATAATAATAATAATAATTTTAGAATTTTCTTTAGTTTTCTGTGATTGGGTTTCTTTGGAGATAGGTATTCTTTGGGGACAGTTTGTTTTATCTGCTGTAATTGAAAAAGGGGCGCATGAGAAAGACGCCATATGTCAGAGCTCACATGGAGGAAATTTTTTTTATTAGGGAAAGTGGGGGAGGGGGAGACCAGTCTCTGGGGACAGGAGCAGTAGAAGAGAAAAGGGGCAGGGAGAAACAGACAGGCAGAAAGAGAAAGCAACAGACAGGGAGATGGGAGGGGGCCCTTTTGAAAGACAACATAGTGAATGTGCACAGGTGGTGCGCTTAGTGGCTGCAGCTGAGGACATATCCTGTCAGAACCCCAAGGGCAGGTCAGTGCAGATGTCTGAATACTAACAATATCATCCTGCATCTTCTCTAATCTTTTGTTTGTTTTTGTTTTTGATTTTTCAAGACAGGGTTTCTCTGTGTAGCTTTGGAGTCTGTCCTAGAACTCGATCTATAGACCAGGCTGGCTTCCAACTCACAGAGATCTGCCTGCCTCTGCCTTTCAAGTGCTGAGATTAAAGGCATATGCCACTACACCTGTCTGCACTTTTATTTTATTTTTATATGTATGAGACTTTGCCTGTATGTATCTGTGCATCACAAGAGTGGCTGGTGCCCATGGAGGCCAGAAGAAGAAACTGATCCCTTGTAATTGGAATTACAGATGATGGTGATCTGTTATGTGGGTACTGGGAATTGAACTTGGGTCTTCTGGAAAAGCAGTCAGTGCTTCCCTAAGCCATCTCTCTAGCATGAAATATTTATTTTAAAACAATTCTTTGCTATACGTATAATTTTGCTCTTTATGAAAGAAGGTAAATTTGCAAATGGAATACTTATTTTTACATAGATAATTTTATCTTGTATATTTGCAATTAAATCTTGTTTACTTCTAGATTTATTTATTTATGTTTGTGTCTGTTTTGCTTGCATGCATATATGTGTACCACGGGAGTGCCTCATATCTCAGAGGTCAGAAGAAAGCATATGACCCCTGGAACTGGAGTAATAGATGTCTGTGAGCCACCATGTGTGTTCTAGTAACCAACCAGGGTCTAATTTAGCAGCAAGGGTTCCTAACTTAAGCCATCTCCCCAGCCCCTCTATATTAAATCTTAATCTTTGGTATTTACGGTAGTTTGAATGTAATTGGCTCCCATAAGCCTATAGGGAGTGGCAGTATTAGGAGGTGTGACTTTGTTGGAGTAGGTGTGGTCTTGTTGAAGGAAGTGTGTCACTGTGGGAGATTTGAGGTCTCCTTTGCTCAAGGTTTGCTCAGTGTGATGCTCAGTCCACTTCCTGTTGCCTTCTGATCAAGATGTAGCCAGCACCATGTGTATCTGCATGCCACCATGATGATAATGGACTGAACCTCTGAACTGTAAATTGCCAGTTCAATTAAATGTTTTCCTCTGTAAGAGGTGCTGTGGGGCTGAAGGGTGGTGGCACACGCCTTTAATCCTAGCACTTGGAAGGCAGAGGCAGGAGAATCTGAGTTCGAGGCCATCCTGGTCAACAAGAACTAGTTCCAGGACAGCCAGGACTGTTACACAGAGAAACCCTGTCTCAAAAGAGAGAGTTGCTATGGTCATGGAGTCTCTTCACAGCAATAGAAACCCTAACTAAGACAGTACTTTAGAATGTAGAGCATCTTCAACACTTTTTATTGCAATTTATTTTAATTTTATGTGCATTGGGGGTCTTAACTGCATGTATGTTTGTATGAGGATGTCAGATCTTGGAATTACAGACGGTTGTGAGCTGCCATGTGGGTGCTGGGAATTGAACTTGGGTCCTCTGGAACAGCAGTCAGTGCTCTTAGAATCTGAGCCATCTCTCCAGGCCCCACTATTTTTTGAGACAAGGTCTCACATGTAAATCTGGCTGACTACCTCTATTTCCTGAGTGCTAGAAATTTAATAGTTAGATTTTAATAATTTAATGGTTAGATTTTATAATCATAAATACATGAATACCACGTCACATATATAGCACAAATGACAGAAATATGAGGCTGGAAAAAATTAATGATCACAGCCGGGCGGTGGTGGTGCATGCCTTTAATCCCAGCACTCGGGAAGCAGAGGCAGGCGGATCTCCGTGAGTTCGAGGCTGGGCTGGACCGACAGCCTCCAAAACAATACAGAGAAACCCCGTCTCGTAAAAGCCAAAAAAAAAAAAAAATTAATGATCACCCTTAGCTCCCTCTAATTATCTGGATTTTTTTTCTCTTTGTTTGAGAGATAGGGTCTCATTATGTAAGTTTCCTGACCTGGAACTCATGTTGATATGAGTACTGAGATTAAAAATACCACCACACCTGGCAGTCTCTGGAACTTTAGTATGAATGCTGGGGGGGGGGCCGGAAGTGTGGGGGGGGGATTTGAACTCAGGTCCTCTTGTTTGCATAAACCCTCTTACCCACTGAACCATCTCCCCAAACCCTTCTCTGACTTCTTCACTAGCCTTTTCTTCTGACACTGCTAGAAATCTTGGGGTTTTGTCTGATTTTTTTTTTTTGTGCCTCCAGTTCAGCCTGCACTAATCATGATAAAGTCTTTATTTTGGCTTCATGTTGTAAACTAGAGGTTGAGTATACAGGAGAGCATCCTGCTACACTAATACAAGAGAAGAATGTCAAGCAACTTGCTTTTGTAGTTTAAAGAAAGGTGTGGCACACTTTGGTTGGATTATAATTCTAAGTGTAGTCTTGTATATGCTGCCAGTCACAAGCCTGAAATTCTACCAATTTGGGGCTTTTTACTGAGTCACCTGAGAGATGCTTTCCCTCCTCTTCCTCTCCTGAGAGAGAACTGCTGCAAGGTAAGTAGAGTCATCTAGAATTTACAGGGTTATCTTGTTTAGAAGGGAGTTCTCTAAAGCCAATATAAGATGCTTGAAACGGTCATGACTGAAGTAAGATCTCTTGAAGCAGGTGTCATGGCCATAATCAACCATGGTTGCAATGGTCCTGGAAACTGGAGTGCACTCCCTTCAAGGTATCCATGAAGTGAATAGCTGGGATGTCATGCTGACAGTTCAGCTAATCATCAATGGAAGGGTGGCTTGGTTAACAGCTGTTGTTTAAATCAAGGCAGCTAGGCACAAGTGGAGGGTTTGACAGCTGTCAATCAAAGGGTAAATTTGGCTGGTCTGCAAGTGTTCAGCTTATTTGGAGTAAATATTAAAGGATACTTAAGGCCTATTATTAAAGCTATTTAACAATGTTTAATTCCTAGCCAGATACTCTTGGGGAATGTTATATTCTTCTGATTTGTTTCATCACATGTTCAATAGGAAGATGCTTTCCAATAAACTCAGTGAAAATGGCACATGCCCCTTCGGGAAGTCATACCATCCTTGAACAAGGCCATCGTGCACCAATTCCTCTGTGCTCAACTGGCACATTTTCTGTTTCTTGGTGCTCTGATTTGAAATACCATGGAACCATAATAGTGTTTGTTCACTTCCTCCTAAAGTTGCTACAAACAGAATAATCTTGATGTCATACAATAGAACATAGGAACAAAGAGAAAGTAATTTGGCAAGGCAATTCCTTTTTGTAAAAAGAGTACTCAAGAACCCAAACGGCCTGGTGGTGAGTGGTGGTGGCTCACACCTATAATCCCTGCACTCAGGAGGCAGAGGCAGGAGGATCTCTGTGAGTTCCAGGCCAGCCTGGTCTACAAAGCAGGACAACCTCCAAAGCAATACAAAGAAACTCTGTCTCGGAAAAACAAAACAAAACAAAAATGAGTACTTGCTGCTCTTGTAGAGGACCCAGGTTTGGTTTTTACCACACACATGGTGACTCACAACCATCTATAACTCCATCCAGTGTCCTCTTCTGACCTCCACAGGCATCAGATACATCTGTAGTACATATAGATTGAGCAAAACATTTATATAGTTAATCACACAAACACACACTCATAATACTAGTGCTGAGTTTAGATGGGCATGGTGTAATGTCACTTTTTTTTCTCTGTATTGGTTTGAACGCTGTCCTGAAACTCACTCTGTAGACCAGGCTGGCCTCGAACTCAGAGATCTGCCTGCCTCTGCCTCCCGAGTACTGGGATTGTAGTGTCACTTTTGAATTTGTTAGAAATGAGAAATGAAGAGCTGAGGGTATAGCGCAGCTGTGGAGTATATGATTCATTTGTGCAAGGCCCATGGTTGAATTCCCAACACCAATAAAGGAAAAAAGTTAATTACAACTGCATGGGATGGGTTCTGTTCTGCAGTCTCCTCACCCAGAGCATCTCTGGTTGTGCCCAGAAAACTTACAACACACACTCCTTACCAGGCATGGGCTAAAGTAAGGTTTGAGAAGCACTGAGGTGAGGTAAATCTTCCAGTGTACTCACTGGAATGGCTCTTCCATGACTCCATGAACCTTAAGCATACCTTACTAGTTATAAAGTTACTTTATCTGTTGTCCTCAGCCCATAAGTTGAGATTTACTTCTTGGAATTCCCATCACCACCGTTTCTAGTTAGTTTCTGGCAATTAACCTTGTAGCTAGGTTTTAACTGATAGGGTTCAGGGTTCTCTGGCAATTGAGGATAATTTAGTTTTCAGAAAGCGCCTGGTCTATGGTTCGCTCTCTCGTTTATGGAGACTGGCAAGAGTTCAATGTTCACTTCAAACACTTTGAGGTTGTTTGTGGGATAAGGAAACCAGAGTCTGGAGTCTAAAGAGTTTCTAGTTAACAGCTAGCTGCTCGCTTATCTCTGTCACTTGGGCAAACTACTCTGCCTCTTTGGACTTCATTTTATCCCTCCATAAAATAGTGGGCATGATGATACTGATTTCATAGGATTCAGGAGTGAAAGAACCTGTGGGAAATATTCTTGGCAGTCCTTGTAACATGACATATCTCATTAAAAACTGACATTTATTTTTCTTTTGCCTTGTTTTTTTTCCCCATTTCCTCCATGGAGGAAAAGGGAGGAACTTTTTTGTCTTATACTAGGACTCAAACTGATCTTAAAACTCATGACATTTCCCTTGCAGTCATCCAAGTCCTGAGATTACAGTTGTGAAACACCACCTCCCCTCCCCACCTTCCTATTCAGAAGGTATTGAGGGTGGGTAGGGTCTTATGTAGCTCAGGTTGTCTTTAACTTGCTATGTAGCAGAGGATGACCCCAAACTCCTAATCCTCCAACCTCCACCTCCCAAGTGCTAGAATTACAGGCTTTTAATTTAAGGAATGTGTGTGTGTGTGTGTGTGTGTGTGTTTGTTTCGAGACAGGGTTTCTCTGTGTATCCCTGGCTGTTCTGGAACTCTCCCTGTAGACCACACTGGCTCGAACTCACAGAGATCCTCCTGCCTCTGCCTCCCGAGTGCTGGGATTAAAGGCGAGCACCACCACCGCCCGGCAATTTAAGGATGTTTTAAGGACCCATGTATTTCTCTGAGAAAAAGTGAAGGTTACTTTAAGGCCTACAGCAAAGAAGGGTAGAGGCCGTGGAGGCACCTCAAAGAAGAGTTTAGAATTAACAAATATGGTTGTGGTAGTTAGAACCAACTCGGATGAATGGCACAGCTGATTGGCTGGAACACAGGGACTGTGAGCGAAGATCAGAACTGGCTGGGAGCCAGACCGGATTAGAACCCAGTGGACTAGGAGGAATGTTTCCAGAACGGAGAAATTAGCCCTAAGTAGGGGTGTGGTAGTGGCGGTGTCAAACCTGCCGCGAGGAGCTGGGCGGGGCTCGGGCTGCAGGTAAGAGGGGCGTGATGGGTGGGCGTGGCCAAGGCAAGCTGGGGGGGGGGGCGCCAGCCGAGGTCAGGCCCCACCGGAGGGCGTCCGGGCGGCTGCGGCGGGGAAGTGGGCGGGAAGGCGAGATGGGCGGGGAGGAGGCTAGGCCTGCGGGAGAGGCGGGCTGGGCTGCTGGGAGGACCCGGGGACGGAAGAGGGTGGCCGTAGGCCGGGCCCCGCCCCCGGGGCTTCTTCCCAGTGGGTTCCGTTGGCCGTGGCTGCCGCGGAGGCTGTGGCGGCGGTGGCCGCCGGGCAGGCGTAAGATGGCGACTGCGGCGGCGGGAGCCCTGGGCCTCCTGTGGGGCTGGCTGTGGAGCGAGCGCTTCTGGCTGCCGCAGAACGTGAGCTGGGCCGACCTGGAGGGTCCAGCCGACGGCTACGGCTACCCGCGCGCCCGGCACATGCTATCCGTGTTCCCGCTGGCGGCAGGCGTCTTCTCCGTGAGGCTGCTCTTCGAGCGGTGAGAGCTGCTGCGCAGGGCCGGGGGCGCCGGGGGCGGGGAGGGGGAGGGCGAGCGGGAGGCCGAGGCCCGGAAGCTGGGGAGCAGGGCCGCTGTGGGGATGCTCGGAGCCTTGCGACGCGCTCCCGGAGCCTGCGTGCAGTCCGGGAGTCTGGGGTGTGGGCGAGTGGGAGAGGGCCGAGGGATGCGCCGGGTCCCCTGAAGTGCAAACCTCGGAGTTGCATGGGATCTTAAGGGCTGCCTTCCATCCTCCAAGAACCCGAGAGTGAATCGTGCTCCCGCAGAGCCCCGCGCGAGGAACAGGAAGGGCCCAGGAGAACCACAGTTAGTTGGGGTCGTGAAAGCTGGTGGGCTCAGTGCAGGCAGCAGACCTTGCTAGCGACAGAGGTGGATGCATTTGGGTGTAATGTTTGCCCAAGCTACATGAGCTTCTCAGAGTTGAAGGAAACCGGATCAGTTAGGCCCCAAGCCCTGATTTGTTAGCGCGTGGACGTCCTCTGTTAATATGACAGTCGACATCTAACTAGGATAGGGTGTGGTGAAGCCTGAGGCTTCCAAAGTTTGGGGAAGGTGTCAAGAGGAACTGCTGAGCCGGTCTCGGAGGCCTGCAATGGGAGGAGTGGTCACGTTGAAGACAACAGAGCCTGGGAGGTTACTGGAAAACGGTTGTGTGTCCCAGCTTCTAAGGTTGTCGTATTCACAATGTACTTTGCCTTAACCATATGCTCCGAACTGAAGTGCCCCACTTTCTTTGAATGGTGGGTTGCTGCCAAAAAGATACTACTCAGCGAGTATTTTATGATGTGGATTTATTATAGCTGTGTGTGTGGCTTTTTTTGATAAAGCTTACTCAAACTCCAAGAAAGCACTATCTGCATAGGTAGAGAGGCTTCTTCTGTAAAAATCTTTATCTAGAACAAACATGACTATAATGCAAGAATGCCCTTTTCTAGTGTGGAGATGTGGTTTAGACAATATAATCCATTACTCGGAAATGTGTTTTGGATTATTTCCTTGATCTGCCTATGCCTTTTTTTTCTATATGTAGCTAGTCACTTATCTGTATATATTAAGACTGGTTGTCTTTTGTAAAAGTGCAAAGGTAAATATATCATAAATAAATAAATATGCTTTTTAGTCGAAGTAAATGAAACTCAAAGTCTAAATGCCTTTTCTGGGCCCCCAGGAACTTTTCAAGGTAATCATTCTTGTTTTAAGTCTTCTTGAGGTGGAGGTGCAGGCTTAGGAGTAAACTGGGCCCAGGTACTCTTTTCCTTAGCACGTGAGGGCTGAAAACGAGATGTAATGACTACCAAGAGAAGCAGACAATCCAATACATTTTTTTCATCGTCATAGGAATATCCTTTGCTTTTCAAACAGATCTGTGTGTTTTGTGACTTCCTGATGCTTTGATAAAATGCCTTGTTTATAAAAAAAAACAGTTTACACAAAGTTACATATTCTGATTCTAAAGGGTTCCCCAGATGGCTCAGACTTCCCTGGAGGTGGTGGCACAGGAAAAGATCTGTTCCCTGTGGGAATTCTAGCTGCTTGTTTCTATGGTGTGCCAGTGTCAGGGGATGAACCTGCACTCTAGTTCTTGTCTAGTAGGGGCAAGCACCTTGTTTGTCTCACGTGTGATTTTAGGAAAAGTTGGCGGGAGAAACTGTCTTGCTAATTTGTTTCCCTTTGTGACTGGCTATCTCAGAAAGGGCTTAGACTTGACTGCTACTCTTTCGTGTGCTGGTCTTCCATAAAGGGACCAGAAGCTCTGTTAAAGTACAGTGACCACCTATTGAAAAGGCTGGAGAGAGGCTGGGTGATTTAGAACTATGCCAGACACTCAGGTGCCTTCTAGAGGATCTCTGTTTCATTCCCAACACACGTGGCAGCTCACAACCATCTGCAACTCCAGTTCCAGGGGATCTGAGGCCCTCTTCTATCTCCATGGCTATCAGGTATGCACATGATACAGAATTGCATGCAGTCAAAACACACACACACACACAATCATAAAATAGGAATTTTTGCCAGAACAACCATAGTGAGACCTTCCTCTCAAAAATACAAAAACAAGCTGGACAGTGGTGGTGCACACATTTTAATCCCAGCTAGCAATTGGGAAGCAGAGGCAGGCAGATCTCTGTGAGTCTAAAGCTAGCTTGCACTACAGTGAGAGTTCCAGGACAGGCTTCAAAGTTACAGAGAAACCCTATCTGGAAAAAAACAAAACCAAAAAGCCTATCCAAAACAATTGAGAAGTTTGTTTTTCCTTCATTTTCTCATTTCCTAAATGCTATCTAGAAACAAATGATGTAACAAACCATAGACTTTTAAGGGGTAGATGCTAACCTTTTACAAACAATAAACTAAGTCTAGCAAGAGCTGGAGGTTTTGCTGAGTGGTAGAGCACTGAGTTTAGTGCTAGACTTTAAACTAGTTTTCCCACATTTGGGGTTCTTTCATAGTATGTGATAGGATTCTGTTTTCCTTAAGCCACCTTCTAAAGGTGTTTTTGTTTGTTTGCTTGAGACAAGAGCTTAACTATGTAGCTAGCTGGACTGATACTTTATAGCCCTGCTGGCTTGAACTCACAGGCGATCTCCTTCCTTAGTCTCCCAGATCTGGGGTTACAAATGTACACCAGATTTAACTTCTACCCTCACCCAGTACTCAAGAAGCTGAGGCAGGAAGATCGTGAACTTGAGACCCAATCTGGGCTAGTTAGTGAGTTCCAGGGCAGCCAAGACAGTGTATTGAGACTGTCTACCAAAACGAAGGGGGGGGGTTAAATTTTTACAGGGGGAGGAATCCGTGATGTTACTCCTGTGTTTGATTTAATGTGTTTGTAAGGGAGGGAAGTTTGAGTTATTACTGTATACCTTAAGATATATAGATAGATATAGACATATATTTAACACAGGGTTTTTCTATGTAGCCCTGGTTGTTCTGGAACTAGCTATGTAGACCAGGATAGCCTCTAACTCACAGAGATCCATCTGCCTTTACCTCCGTATTACTGGGGTTAAGAGCTATGTTTTATGATTTAAGGAGTCTTAGCCCTACCCTTCCTACTTAATAAAAAGCTTCCTCCACCAGACAAGATCTTACCATATATTCAAGGCTAGCTCAGAACTCAAAATTCTGCTTTAGCCCCCAAGTGCTAGGATCACAGGTGGTGTTAATCAGGCCAAGCCTGGTTGTGTTGTCCCAGAGATCTCCCAAAAATAGAGTTTGCTTTCTTTTCCTTCTCATAAGCCACAGTGCCTTTTTTTTCCTTTCCTTATTCTCTAGAGAACTGAGCCTCCTCTGATAGAGATTACTTGAAAAACTATCTGACCATAAATAAAATATATCTCTTGCTGTCCAAACTGACTTCAGCTCACTGTGTCACTCAGCCTGACCTTTAACTCCTGATGGTCTTCCTGCTCCCGCTGCCCAAGTGCTAGGATTACAAGCGTAAGCCATCACACCCAGCACTATTCTGTTTTGTTCAAGAACTACAGAATAGACCTGAAAATATATAGTTCAGAGATAGAGTGCTTGCCCTGGGTTCAATCTCCAACACAGGCAAAAAACAAACCAATTCCAGAAGCAGTCATTACCTATGAAACAGCGAAAGTGGGGTAATCTATCCAATGCACACTGTAGCATGTGATCAGTAAATATTTGTTGAATGATTGGAAAGGGTCTGTTTATCCACACAAATGCTCAGCGGAATTATCGGAAATATAGATATGTGCAGTGAATCAGGGAGGTGAGGCTTCTGTGTTAAGTTTCACCATGTTGTAGATGCACTTTCTCTGGCCTCTGTCTTTCTTACCTCATATACACACTTATGGTACCACCCCCATGTTCTGCCACAAAGGCACCAACTCTTACAGGTTTGTTCTAATTGAAACCTGAGAGAATAGTTTAAGCTAGATCTCTTGTATCTGATTTTTGTCTGTTTTGTTTGTGAGACTGACAGGATCTCTCTCTTACCCAAGCTGCCCTCCCTCTTTCTCCTGATTGTTGAGATTATAGGCATTTACAACTCATGAATTTTTAAGATAAGTTTTAATATGAAGTTGTTTGAAACTTGATAGCCAGCTCCTGAATACTTGTTCATTGGGATCCAGCAGGAGCCAGTGACTAGATATATCACCAGATCTATGTAGGCTAATTTATTTGGGATGTTATTGCATGCAACAGGAGCTCTGTGTTGCCAGAAGTCAATTGTTTTGTGAATCATGCAGGACAAGGGCGAGCACTTTCGCTGTTGCTTATTCATTACTTCAGTCTTCTTTCTTGTCACTTAGAGGCAGCTTTGCTAGGATGTCCAGGGAATTTTCCCGATAGCATTTTCTGTCACTGGGAACTGAATAGGTTCACTTGCTGCCCTATTACACATTTATTTGTTCTTTGAAATGGGTCTTGCTATGTAGCCTTGGTTTGATTGGAGCTTAATATGTAGAATGAACTAACTGGCCTCAAACTCCAGAGATCGCCTACCTCTGCTTTCTGAGTGCTGGGGTTAAAAGCATGCACCACCACACCTGGGCGGGCACATTTCTTAGCTCTGGCTGTCCTGGAACACATAATTTTAGCCAGCGTTAACATGTCCTCCCAAGGACAGAACCTCTGGAAAACAGCCATAGAGGCTGGTTAGGGTACAGAACACAGCCCATTCCACTGTGCCCCTAAGCTTGTTCAGCATTATTGAATTGCAAATCACAGAATTAAATGACATCTGCAGATCAGCTGAGTGAGGGTGGGAAAATGGTCACATGGCCCCCTCTTACCTAAAACTCACTTTTCAATCAGTTCCAGATGGTCAGAAGCCTTCTGAGTCCTCCTCACTCAGGATGAACTCTCCACAGCCTTTTTTGCAGTCAGTATTCTACAGACAACACTGTCATGACTGAGATCAAGTTCCTGACATATCCTGGAGACAGTGTATCTGTCACCAAAAAGAAACATGTTACTTAGTTTTTTCTGACACCACCTCTTGATTCAAA